TGACAAAATGCTGTGACTTTTATGTAACTCAATGTGATATACATAGGTCTCTAAGTATTTGTGTTGTTCATGATCAGTGTTACCACATCGATCATCAGATAAATGGCAAATGACTATTCAATGTTCTTGTAAAACATAAAAAACTGATGGGAAAACAAAGTTTTTTTTTCCGCTCAGAGCGTCAGAGGTGAGCGTAAATGCAAGTCCGTAAAAATTTAAATGCATCGCAAAACCCTTCTCTAGTGAACCATGCTCATTGTTAGCTTGCTTTCCTTTATTAGGGCCCAGCTCTAAAGAGGCCTAACAACTCCCAGCAGACATCCAGAGGATTGTAATTGCTGACTCTAAATTGACCGTAGGTGTGAATGTGGTAGTTAATGGTTGTTTGTCAGCCCAGTCCAGGGTGTCCCGCCCAGGGTTGTAGTGGAAGGTAAACGCACGTAAACGCCGTTTACGCACCTCTGGAATTTTGGAAAAGCGTTTACGCACCTCAAAGTTCCCTGCGCCTTGTATTCTTCCGTTGGACTAATCCGAAATAAGCTTGGTGTAATTTTAAAACAGCTAAGACTACGTTTCCTGTTGTTGAACATATAAACGCCGTAGTCAGAATCACTTTCATCTGCGCTGTATTACGGTCTGTGAGCATCCAATCAGTGCCTTGCGGCTGCAGCAGCTACACCAATCAGGTTCCAGGAGGTGAGTAAACATACACGTTGTGGATCAGCCCAGTGGTCCCCAACCTTTCTTACCTCACGGAACGGTTTCATGTCAGACAATATTTCGCGGACCGGTCGAGAAGGTCCGACGGGGCGGGGGAGCGGGGAGCAAAGCTGTTGCTTCACTGAATAGGCCTATATGCTTAATCAATTATTTGAAGTCATGAAAGTTATAGAGTAGCCTGTAAGCATTAGAAAACAAGTCAGTTATAAATGTGAAAAAAAAACATGCTGATGACATAGGTAGTACATGAGTGTTCTCTACTCTTAAATACTCTTAAATTCAACATATTTTTTCAGGCAGTGATAGGACAGGCAATGATGCAGAGAGCACAGGGAGAGGAGAAACACCAGGTCGAATAGAGAGAGAAGCACAGAGGAGCCATGTGCAAGGCTCTGTGCGAGGCAGGACCTGACGTGGAGGACAAGGAGGCCCTCTGGGCACTACTGTAAAAAGGAGACTCCGTATGTAGATAGTTCTTAATCTGCAATTGTCTTGTTGTTTTGACATACTTTTCTTTACTGTTTTCTTAAATTTAATAAACTACTAACACATGTATTCATTGTCATTGATTGTATATTACTTTTACTGATAGCATAATGCAATATAGCCAGGACAGCCTTACAGAGTCGCGACGCTTTTGTGTTGCGTTGCTTCGCATCGCGTCGAGGTCTGTATGATCACAAAATTCAGAGTTTACCCACCTCTAATTTTACCACTACAGCACTGGTCCCGCCTGATGTTAGCTGGGATTGACACCCCCCCCCCCACAACCCTTTTAGGATGAGCGGGATATTTCCCTGGCAAAAAACTTTGGATAAAGGGATTTTGATTCATAGAAAGCTCCAGTCGCAGGTTTCCTAGTGAATCAACTCAAGACAAGGGGCCAACAGTCAGCATCCTCAAACGTGATTCATGGAAAGTAACACTGCACCAACCAGCCCCTCCCTCCTCCACCTACGAAAAAAAAAAAAAGTAACCTAGATATATTGTTACGGAGAAACATGCAATGCTGACTTTGAGTCATTTTCCTGCATATTCCGTCTGACTTGAGGTCAAACATGAGAGGCTTAGTGAGCCTCTTATCCATGCAGGTCGTCGTGTGGCCTTCGGCTGCTTAAGTCCTCTCAGTTTATTATGCCGGCTGGCTGGTTTGGAGAACTGGAGCACGCCACCACTCTGGGGGGGGATTTTAAGCTAAATAAATAGACAAAATAAAAGCGCTGGAATAAGAAAGGATTTTATGGAGAAAGAGGTGATATTAGCTTAGTGATTGAGTTGGGAGGGTGGGACTCCAGGAAGGAGAGGGAATGGATAGTCACACTAGAGGTTGAGACATTTCGTAGCGTGTCTGCTCTTAATTATCATATCCCCCAGTGTGCTATCTTCCTTCCCAGCTCCCCCACTTTCTTCATCTCCTTTTCAATTTTCTAAGTGCTTGGTTTTAATTAAAGCAACGCAGAAGTGACAGTGAGTCACCTAAAAGCCAAGAAATGGGCACAGACAGTCAAAGGTGACATTTTTAGAATGGTATTTTTGTCACGGAGCATTGCTTCCTCCCACAATACGATAACACCTCAGGTTCAATCAACAAGCTGCTTCTCTCCTGCATGAAGAAGTGACGTGGAATCACGCATGCTGATGCTATTTGGGAGGTGCGTAGTGTTTTGGTTGGGAATTGTAATAAGGCTTTGTGGTTTTGTAAATACATGCACGGTATATGTATATGTATCAAACACCGATCTAATTAACTAACTGCGTCTTTTTTTCTCCTCACTTCTTCCCCCCTTGATAACTGTAACATCACATCTGTCCTTTCCCCCCCAAAGTATCACAGCCAATTCCCCTCCCTGTACTGTAGCTACTTACACACTAACCCTTTACAGCTGTCAGCTATTTTACACCTTTGCATTGTTTGCTGCTCTGAATGTTGTATTTTGTTCCTTTCATGGAACCACGTTCTACATTTCGATGATTCTCCTCATGCCACTTTTCAAACATGCAGCAGCGTTCGGGCTCCAGCTTCTAGCGGTGCCAGTTGTTCTCCTCACCTGTTTTTTGCACAGAAGATCTGCCAGCTGAACTGGATCCTCCCTGTATGTTGATCACTTCTCTGCAATGAGACAATCACATTTACATTTCCCAGCCTTTGATGTGCTTCAAAAATAACTGGGTCAAGTCAGATGAGAGTCTGTGAGTCAGATACTGATTTACTGAAAAGTTGAGGAAAATCCAACAATTCAGTGGAAAACTCTCCACCCACACGATAACTCTGAGCTGGAAATGATCACAACCGTCCCATTTGTTTCCAGGTTTACATCCACATGTACTGCTTCTTCATTAGGTCAACAGTCTGTGTAATTAGCATGTTTGAGAAAAAAAAGCTGACACTAATTCATTCATTGATAATACAAGATTATGTCCACAACATAATAGCTGTAGCTAGTAGGTCAATAGCATTCACAGAGTTAAGAATTAAGTACTGAGAGCTCTTCATCAGATTGTCATCATTGATTATTAAAAGATTCTTGTTTTCGTATGTATTTAAAACAGTGAAGTGATATAACGCAATGTCCACTTTCTAGTGTTGTTATTGCTTTAAAACTCATATCCTTTATCTCTGAATGGAACCACATAATAACCTGAGTCAGATGATAACCGGTTAAGATATTTAGAAAACATTGTTTTTTTCCTAGTTGATGCTGGGTCTGCTTTTAGATTTGACTTAGTGGTATATTTTGAGAAAACACATGAAACAAGTGTAAACTGACGCGCTATCCCTGCCACCTCAGAAACCGATGCTAAAGTGTCATAGTCTGAACCTCAGGGCCTCTGACCAGTTCCAGAGTTCAATGGTTTGGGAGTGAGAATATGCTGGCTCATGATATCATCTCTTTTTTTAATTTATTTTTGTATGGATGAAACAGATTGTGAGTAAGTGAGCTTCAGAGTGGCTGATAAGTGGATAATGTAAAAGTGGAACTTGGGGTCGTTATCAGTGTAGTCACGTGTCCTTCAACAAAAACTCACATGAAAATCTTGTAAATGGACATTGAGTTGAGATTAATTGAGCAGTTTAACAAGCTACTTACTCTGAAAAGACTCAGTACATAATTTATGAAAATGAATCTCTTTGAAACAATTTACAGCAAAGTTTAACCTACAATCAGTGTAAATGGCCAGATCATGTAAAAATGGAAAACGTTCCATTTAACACAGTTTTCCCAGATTTATGAAGTTCTGTTCACTTCTATTTGTTTAATGCGTGTTTTCTTTTGTTTTTTTTACCTTAATTACAATGATGGATGTTTGTGTGCATATGAACAAGCTTATTAGAGAATCCACACCCCATCAGCTCCTGCAAATAGTTACAAATGGATGGAGGGAATGCCTCATTTTTTCCTGTTTGTGGTTTAACAGAGAAAAGGGAAAATCAACCATGTTGACTTCGGACTAATATCGACCGATGTAGCATTATATCAAAAGATAGAAAATTCTAAATAATACAATGTAATAGTTTATTTATTTAAATTTATTGTTTTTTATTCTTGCAACCGAAAACTAATTATTTTTTTAAATTTGGGGAAAATAAAAAAAGATCACGGCCGACGTACCAGTCGTCGAGGTGGGTGTTTCAAGAGCGCTTGGACGAGGTTGAAAGCTGCTGAGTAGATTGGCATCAAGCACCAGATGCTAGTTTGAATATAATTATACCCCAATCTCATCCATGCATACAACCTCTGCTTCTGTGCTCATTTATCATTTAACACAATTATGAAAAAAGGTCAAATGGAACACTTACTTGTGGATCAATTTCTATCTCGGTGAGGAGAATCTAAAGAAGAGGAAATAGAATTTATGTTCCAGGGCGCTATTAATAATAACCTAGAATATCTACAGATTCAATGTGACACTTTCATTAATATCTTCAATAGCTTTTAAATGATTTATTGAACTGCAATGCATCGCACCATAGTCTGCATGTCAGCTTAGAATTTACTTTTTTTCCTGTTGTTAAGGAACTTCAGTATGTTGACTTTTTTATTCCATTTTTAGCCAACATTTTTCTAATATTATTACATTGTATATTGTACATACATACGCACCAAATCCAAAAATAGAGCATAGATAGGCGGGCAACATCAATGGCTTCATCAATTTCTTCTGTAAATGAATGAAAGGAAAAGAAAAGCAACGATAGGGTCGAGACCATGGCGTTAACTTTCTCTAGATAAGCCCATACAACTTTAAATACACCAATAAACAAACTCACACTGCAACGGTGGACATAAGAAGATATAGATTTTAATATCTTTATAAACATTTTGCAGTTTTCTGATGATAACTTACTGAACGTTTGAATTATGGCAATGAAAGAAGATGAATAGGCATATAACAAGAACAAGAAATAGGGAAGTGAGAAATTGTGCATTAACAAATAAAAGGCTCTAAAAATATAACATGAAAAATATGTAAATAAACAAATCACAGTAATAAACGAATCAACAAACGTAAGACACCTCCTAAAAGGAGGAGCTGAAAACCCTGTTATCATCATCAATGTCACTGATACTGTTTTTCTCATAGTAATACAGTAAATGATTAATATCAGCACTGCAAGAAGTCCTCTTTTCTCCATTGTTACTGGTATAGTTCACATTGATACAAACACCATCTTATCGGTAGATTTAAGGGAGGCACAAAAGCTCCAGAAGTACAGCAAGACGTCCCGCAATCCTCCACATGTCATTCTGCATTGTACTACGAACCCGATTGCCTTGGATTCCCGCATCCATTGACAATCAGTTAATTAAGTGGCATAATTTCTTCTGTACGAGCCTCGTTATACCATGCTCCTTTCAAAATGTTTTTTGAATGCTTTATTGAGTCATTGATTTCACACGCACTCTTTTTTCGAGTCTTTTGTTTCTTTGAAGTTGAGTGATTGTGTCCCTCACGTTCTCAATGAGGGAGGTTTGCGCTCACTCGGGGGGGGGATCAGTTCAGCACAACCTCACCGGGAAACTGAGAAATCACCTCTTTGACCCTCCACCTCTAAGGCTCCTGTTGGCCCCGCAGCAGGATCTCTCTCTCTAGGTCCACTTTGTGTCTGATAAAAATCAAATGAACGACAAGATATAGACAGAATTCGTCGATATTCACAGCTTGATCTCCAAGGGACAAACACACATAGTTTTTCCAAGCAAATGAAAAAAGCGTGCCTCGAGTCCTCGTCATCTTTAAACAGTTGACTGCCGAATATTCAGTTGCACACAGAGGGAGAGAAGTGGCGTGTGTGAGGATGGAACTCAGAGCTGTATGTAGAAAAGTATTAGCAATGAGAAATGCTGTTAGAAAGGTCGGCATTGTGCAGATATTTGTTGTAACAATTTGTTACGGCTCCGCAGAGCGTGTGAGCTAATGGTTGCTTTGTTTACAGCCTTTGAACATCGGTGGCAATAGATTTCCGTTTCGCTGTGTCAATGGCACATTCCGTTGTATGAAACTGAATGACTATTTATTGCCAAGCTTACAGTTTACCTCTTTGTTCACGAGAAACACTTAATACACCCAATTGTCTGGACAAAATACATTTGGCAGACAGAATGAAAGAAAAAAGGGGCAGACGCATGGGGGCTGACAGGGTCATTGACTTTGTGCTTGGTAAGAATTTACAAACTGTGAACGTAAATTTAAAGCTGGATGGAGCACTCCAACGCCTAGCTTATTTTTCTCAGTGCTAACAACTTCAGCTCCTTTGCTCTGTCATCTCTTCTGTCTTTTGTCTATTTTTACCAGACCTTGGTTGTATGAGCTCCAGTAGAGGGAAAATCTAGTTGAAAATACACAAAGTACCAGGACATATGCGGATGAAATCATACCGGCATCAATGGCAGTGCAAGCTTGGTCTGCATTAATCTTTTGTCATACTCTCCTTCTCACAGTCCTCTCGATTTTTGTGCAGTGAGTCTTTGTGCTGTAGATGTTTGATGCTTTCGAGATGCCTGTTTCAGTCTAAAGCTCCCTACACTACATTTACACAAATAATCACACTCACGCACACATACATAAAAGACACACAGGCCTGGTAGTGCAGGAGCAAGAGAGGGTCTGAGGGCTGTTTTTTTAATCTTTCTCTCATTTTCCAAACCCTTTGAGGGTCAACGGAGAATGAAGTCAATATTTGTCGTTATCAAGGCCGTGAGGAGGGCACAGACATGTAGTAATGACTGGGAAAAGGTTGCCCTGTTGTTGGCCTGCTGAACCCCACTAGGGGGGCGAACAGTGGTCCTGGGAGTGCACTTGTGCTTCCTCCGTGTGACGGTACCGTCCGGGGATGTGTGGTCATGTTTCCCCCCGTCTGTGAAATCGGGGGAGGAATCATCCTTGTCTACGATGACCTCCTTTGAGTGGTGAACCTCATTGTCCCCCTTCCCCTTGCCCCTGACACGAGGCTTTGTGCAGTTCCGAGAGCGGCCAGGCCTTGAGGGGTGCACGATGTGGGTCTGCCCTCCAGAACCAACCACCACACCACGATTCGCAGACGGATTCACTGTGCCAGATAAATTGTTAGTCTGGGCTCTGGACTCAGAATTGGGTAAGGTGGGTGAACAGTTGGGGAAGTCTTCCTTGCGCAGATCCTTCAGGTCCTTCCCCAAAACTTCAGCCGGTGCCTGGCATCCGACCGAAGACGTGGAGCCTCGAAAGCGCTTCAACCACTCCCATAGTGACAGGGCCTTGCAGTCACATGACCAGGGGTTGTCGTTGAGGCGTAGGTATTCCAATGCGGGCAGTGTGTCCAGGCACTGTCCAGAGAGCTGTACAAGGGTGTTATTGAACAGGTAGAGGGTGGTGAGATGTTTCAGGTCGTGGAAGGCCAGGCGGTCAACCCACTCAATCTGGTTTTGGTGCAGAAGCAGTCGGTCCAATGCTCGAAGACCTCTAAAGGTGTTCTGGTTGAGGCTCCACAGACGGTTGCCATGCAGGAACAGGTGGCTCAGGTTGTGGAGGTCCATGAACGTGTCATCCTGAAGGAACTTCAGATGATTATCCTGAGGAGGCACAGAGAGCAATCATTAGTCTGCATATTGTGCAACGTTTACATTTCAATAATATTGTGCTGAATTGCTGTCACATGATCTTGTGTCTACGTGAATCCCTCTGACCTATTCCATAGACTACCGTGGCTACTTTCCCAAAAAGGAGAAAAATAAGTAGCAGTGCCGAATGGATAATCATGACGCCAAGTGACACACAAAAATAATTTGGACACTTCAGATGGAAGAAATTTTGAATAAAAGTGAGGTTTGTTTGCTGATGTAAAACACAACTGACAGCTTGTCGCTCAAGTAAGGCAGGAGAGGCACAGCGACAAATCAACAACACATTCATTTTGCAGCACAGTTTAGAATTTGTCTACACAGGTTGTGTTTGTTCAAAGAGTGACAGCCCTAATAGATTTGTGATTGTATAAACAGTACCTGCAAGTAGAGATACTGCAGGTTTCTGAGGCCTTGGAAGATGTTGTTCGGGAGTGAACTGAGCCCGCAACGGTACAAGTGAAGGGCATTGAGCCGATTCAGCCCGTGGAAAGTATCTTCTGCCAAGGAGCGCAGGTGGCGGTTGTCTCCGAGGTCGAGCTCCTCAAGAAGCGTAAAACCGTGGAAGGTGGACGGCTCAATATAAGTGATGTTATTGGAGTAGATCCAGAGAGTGACCGTATTGGAGCTGAAGTGTCCACGGAGTAAGCGATGGATCTTATTGTTCTGTAGGAAGATGCGCTCATTGTCGGGATGGATGCCTTCAGGGACCGTCAGGAAGTTATGGGATTGGCAGGAGACGGTGCTGGGTGCCATGTAGCAGATGCAGTGACGGGGGCAGGACCAGGAAAACTCGAGCCCACAGAGAACCAGCAGGAACTCCAGCCCACAGCCTAGAGAGAGCACACACGCACGCACACACACACACACACACACACACACACACACACACACACACACACACACACACACACACACACACACACACACACACACACACACACACACACACACACACACATACACAGATGAAGGAGAGAAAGGGAAAGATTTAGAAAGAGGGATTCAGTGTATGGTGAGAGCATTTTACATTTTTAAGTTAGCTAGAATTTTGAACGCCTCCTTCTCTAGATCAAAACTTGAAGAGTATATGTATGTAGATGTATTGATACACAATTGAACACTGAGAGTTGACAGCCCTCTATAGGACTGTCGGTCTAACACAAAACACAATATTTTAAGAAAGCATCAGCATTTGTATGCATTTCGATGACATTTCTAGCGAGAAGTATGCTTTATATCTTCATAATCTTCGATCAGAGAATGTAGAAGACCTTCCGTTTATTAGTTTCTAGTGACGTAGTTGCAAGGCAATGTAAATGAATAGGCCAAAATAAAACGTAATATTGTCACAATTTTGGGGAGAAAGAGTGAGAATACCACGTTCCACAACGTAGCTATTACACGTTTTGCTGTGAGACTGGGTTGCTATAGTGGACCTGTGAGGCGGCGCTTGCCCCAATCGCTGACATCAGTATGCTAAACAGGCTCACAGAGGCAATCCTAACATGCTGATGTTTATCAGAATTCATGTTTACTGTGTACAGCGTATACAGTCTCAGGTTGAGGTTCAGGTGACTTTTATTCATACCCGTGGGTAGACTTGGTTTGCAATGGAGAGCGAGTTTAGCATGTTAGCATGCAAACATGTGCCCAGTAGCACAAGGGGATCATTAAGCATTTTTGATATCTTCAGCAAGTCTTTCAAAAATAATGCAGTCAAAAAAACAAACTAGGTCTATATATTTCAGCCGGACCCTCTCTGTCATGGTGGACTTCATGAATAGTGCAATAGTGCATGTTGGCCTGCACAATGAGTCTATTGAAGCGAGCAAACAAGAACAACTGATGAATCACAAGATGTCTCCGTGACGATGATTGGATCTCAGTCGCACTATTTCACCCCGATGTAGCTATTTCACAATCACCCTTCTCAATGTTCTGCCACCAGGAAGATGTGCTCGTCCAATCCCTGCCCTGATTCTAGTGGCCCCACTTTGCATTAAGCGGAGGCTGTGATCAGTCTTCTTGTGTTGTTAAATGGGTTGTGCAATGCCTGTTTAAACTCGCAGCAAGCTACTCAGAGACATTTTCTGCTCGGTGACGTGATTCCGTTGATCCTTGAGACTGGAGATGTGACTTATCCACAGTCTCATCTAAAATGAGCATAACTCACAGCCCATCATGAAAGTCCCATCTGACAACCTCTGGCCATCTTCTACCCAATTTATTATTCACAGCACAACAGCGGGCTGATTCACTGCCTCTCATCGATATGCCTCTTCTGCCTTTTAACTCTCCTTGTAATTCTGGGTCTTTTATGCTGGCAAATTTGGGAGCTGAGGAATAACTCTTCACCAAGAGACGGGCGTATTTATCTAATGTATTTTCTCGCCAAACTGTGGCTAAGCTGTGACATTCAGCGTCTGACTCCACTGACCTTTAACAGTAATTCTCTGTGTCTCGTCGTAGAGCTGGAGCTTGGAGCTGCGTGTCACCTGAACAGGAGTGTGCTCTCTTGGGCACGGATCTAATCCTATTTGTTAAGCCTCGCCACTGGGCAACAACGGATATGCATGCATTCACCTAAACACGCGCCCACAGAACGGAGGGATTGTTCACGGCTGAACGCGGGCGAAAGGTTAAGTCTAAGTGTGCGTTCATGTGTACTGTCTGGATATTTTGTGTTGGAGATCATTACATGCCATGACAGCGCTACACTAGGCCTCAGCTTTATTTTTGACTCCTTGTTTTAACGTAACGCCCTGCATAAATAAATGGATCCTTCACTTTTTCAATGCTTGTTTCATGATTTCTCTCACCCATATGTCACTTTTTTTGGTCACTCCAGGTGCTTGTTATCCCAATGTTTCTCTCTACTCACCATTTCCATAAAGATGTATTAAGCGTGGCACCTACTGACTGAATAAACAGGTGAAAGTGTTTTTCATTACTCTTGGGAAATAATGGTACGCTCTATGTGTCAGACAAATAAGTCAGAGCCAATCTTTCTCTATGCTGTTTGAGGAACATTTGCATTAAGCTGCAGGCACCAGACACTTGAGATGCAGGTATTTGTTATTGTATTTCACATATTATTAGGATATTGACCCACACAAAAGAATAATTTTGACGCAACGCATTTAATCCATCTTTTTCTTTGATATTTATTCCGAGATGATATAATACTTGTTTTGATCACCTACAATCGCTGGAATTCAACACAGTGTTTCCATCATTCATTAAACAGATTTTCTCACTCTCAGTAAAAATCTTATGAAGTCTTAAGCTATTTCCATTAACAGTTTACTTCATGCATGTCAATACAATCAGGCAGCCGACCTATGACGGAAAAATGATCTGAGCAGTCGGATGACGGACTGGTATATGTGTGAAAGGGAGAGGATGCTGCCTTAATAGTGAGACAATTTGAATAAGCAATCTGCTAATCAGGTTGGACACGAGGATGCGCCTCCTCTCTCGCTCTCCTCGGCTTGTCAGGACAAAGCACTAGATTCTTTACACTGCTCAATCTTTTCCTCTAAAATGGAGTTTTTTACTCCTTTGCCAAATACGTAATTTTGCACTGAAAAACATTAAAACATGGCCGATGAACAGAGTTGTATCTACATCCATTCCTTCCATCAAGAACAAGATCTTTTCACTAGACTTTTAATGTGGCTTTAGCCAGCAGGAACTTCTGATGACGATGCTCTCCAGATGCTGAAAGCACGTCTTCCACTCTCTTCTGCATGTAGATTGACGTTGAGGGAATTTCCTTTTGTTCATCCACACTGAGGCCATGTGTGCTCTCATTTGAAGATAGCACAACATGCACTCTCACTGGAGACTTCCATCTGCCAGCTCACTGATCTCAGCACACCATATATTTGCACCTCCAAACACTAATTTAAATCTAAATCACACATGCATTCACACACCTCCATTAGTTCATATACTGTATAGGCAAAAAAAGCTGTCTGTGGACCCACTAAGACACATTAGCATTAACAGTACAGCATGCGTCACGTTTGGAAATAAATTAAGCAGATCATGTCAATGTGACGAGCATAAAAGCCGGAATGACGCTTGTTTACAGAGACTGGCTGTCAGCACAGAAGCAAAAACAAGCCTTGTGCGGGAATGCTAAAGGAAAATGTTGGGAATGAATATCTGTCATAAATGCATTATGTGCTCACACAATGAGCCATGCAGCTCAGATTGTATTATATAAATAGCTTTGGACAGAACAGAGCATATATATGCCAATAGTGTCTATTGGAATTTGGCAGGATAAAGGAGAGGCTCTGAAAGAGAATATGATAATTACAATGTGCTTTTGGAAAGGAAAAGGAACAGCTATCTCATCAGTTGCATTAACACTCGCGTCACAAGCCTTTCACTTCCAACTCTCTCCCCATACAGCTTTCCTCCCAGCACACAGCGCCGCGTCCTGCGTCCCGTTTTCAATGCCGATGTTCCTTATACATGCAGTACTACAAATGACCAGCAGGGGCAACGCATCCAGTTGCAAAAAGAAGGCCAATTCGATTGAACTAGATCAGAAAGAAAACTTTGCAACAGCCAATGTTACAGATCAGGTGCACATTTGAAACCTTGACCCCCATCATCACCAAGTTCTCATTTTTGTTTGGGTGTGCAGAAAGAATAGATGAAGATAGATGAAACACAATGGCTCAGGGGCCCAGACAGAGTGACTGCGTAAAATATCAGTGAATTATAGTTCACACTAGACTTGCCCTCATGAATAAAACATCTCTGCTAATGGAAGCGAAATAGTACGTCTGTGGAGCTGCGTGACTCTACCCATAATTATACTGGACAAACTGAATTTTCCGTGTCCCTCCAAAGACCCTGATAAGCACCCCGGTGTTTCCTCTCCTGCTGGTGGCGGTTTCTAAATAATGTCTCGACACTCAAAAGGTGTTCAGAGTCATATTCAGGCACCCAGTAGTTATAAATGGTGAAGCAACATATTTGATTATTGATTGAACCGACTCACCGTAATATGGTGAATATTCATATTAGTGTATAACACTGCTGCCATCTACTGTATATCTTTTTATGCCAAAATATCTGCATAGGACTCAACTAGGATATGTCCCTATTAAAGGTCTGGCTGGAAATAGAATGAATTTTCAACAATGGTCATTTTGCATGACTTTACTCATGAATTGGAGGTTGTATAAGAGTCTCTAATGAGTGTAAGTTGTCCTTTGGTTCTACTTAGTTACTTAAGCTTGTCCTTTATTCTATCAACAGTCAAGTCACGAAAGGGGTCAGGCGTCAATATTTGATGATATGGTAAAAAAAATAACTTCTTTAACAGCAAATACTCTGCTCATGTAATGATTTTAAAACAGTATATTATAAACTCAACATTATAAGACAAGGTTTCATGACTTGGGCAACATCAGACAATATTAGCTACAATCAGGAGCTAGATAAATATATGATTTGACATCAAATCATTTGGGATTTTCATCAGTTCGTACACGCCTCGATTCCACAGCAATCTGAATAAAGCCTTGGATTCAACCTCGGTATCTGACATTAGTATGGGTCAATAATTGCCTATTCATCTCAATTAACATTGTTGGAACAAAAGCATAATTGCAAATATGTCTTCTTAAATCATCACAAAACAACAATAACCGCAGAACATTTTCGTTCAGCACAAATACAAGAAAGACATTTTCTGACTGAACACAACGCTCATGAACAACGCTGCCAACAGCTGTGACCAGCAACACTTCCGCCCCGGAATATTTGTCTTTTTTCCCCCACATCCTACTGCGGAACCTTATAGATT